GAGGCATTTGCAACACATGCCCAAGCCATCGCAGCTGTGACTTCTCAATCTGGAGAAGCAAAGGCTGTATACCAAGGACTAAGGCTCTTCCAGGTGTCAATATTCCAGACCATGTCGAGATTGGTTGCTTCCTGCGGTCAAGAACTCAATCATTAGTTTTCTAATCCCACCTTGGGCAGAGGTTGCTAACAGAGCTGTAACTATCGATTGCTCAGAATAGTGACATTTGACTAGGTTCCAATATTGTTTTGGACTGGAATTATGCCTCAATCGCCTCTGCGACAATGCACTTGTTTATTTTCGTCATACCTCCTTCCTATAATGCTTTTGCGTTTCGGTAGTCTTTCTCCATGTTTGTCGTAAATGATCCGTTTATTGTTTCTAAAAGAGAAAATTTTCGACTTCTGTTTAGACCCGTTTTATCAAACGAAGTGAAACGTTGGTTTCCGTCTAATTCATGATCGCTGTTCGTTTGTGACTCGACTTACCAAAGCTGATCCTGTCTTCTTGAGGCTATCTCGACCCAAAGTCGGTCACGCTTCAGCCAATTTCTTCTTCTGTCCATTCTGGCGGTCAACAGTTTGTTCATTGCATGCTTTGTCATGTCATAAGCAGCATTCAGGTCATTTCTATGTTCGGCGTTTAGATTTGGCATTGTAATTGAACACTGCCGATGGCATCAGTCGGAGATGCGCTTTTCGCTTATAAATTCCAAAAGCTTGCTGGGCATTCGACTCATTTTTTTTTATGTTCATTTCATCGCCTACCTTTTGCTGACAAATTGAACAGTAAAGACAATATTGGCTTCATCTTGGTTTCAATTGGCAAAATACTCAAAAAATAAGAATGACTGGACGCAAGAACATATGCATGACAATTGCCATGTTGCGGTAGCACTGCGATTCCGTCAACGTGCTAGAAGATGCAGCATTCGTTTTATGTTCAGCATTTGGGTTAATCAACAAGTACTGCTACTTCTTGAGGTAATCAATGGGTTTCATGTGTGAAATAATTAATAATTTCTTTGTTCTGCCTTTTTTACTTAAATCCTCTACATGGAACGTGAAATTTAGTACTTGGTCGTCATCAAGTCACCTGTTGCATTCTCCCAACGCCTTCCTTTTAAACGTAGTAGCGAAAATAGAATTGGGTGAACGGTGTACTGTATTTCGAAGTACATAACGAAACTTGTTTCTTACTGGAGGGCAAACGTTGCAGGAACATGTCAGGGCCGAAGCCGAGATCAAAACCAAGTACACAGAAGTGGGTTTATTGAAAACCTTGCAGTACGAATGACTTCTTTATGAACCATTTAAGAACTCAAGTCATTTTTTACTCGGTTGTCGCATTCAAGTTGCATCTAATGGGCGCGGGGGAGGGGGGGTCGTTCAGCATCATTTGCTGCGGCATGAATTAAATTTGGGTGAAATCAATATTTCCATGCTGCAATAACAAACAATAAAAAGCGCGAGGTCTGCGCCAACGAATGACAACTATGACCAATGGCGTTAACGGTGGTGAATCATTGCCCTGGAATCGGCGGGCCTCGTCCACGTGATCCGTGTTCTGCTTCTGGGCCACCGCCAGGCAGGCCACCCTGAAACTCTGTACTGAATGTTTACAGCTGCAGCGAGAACACTGTTCGAGGAACTTCTGTTGCCAACCTCGCCGTTCTGCGCTGATCGATTATGTCGCCAATCGGGTATGCTAGTTATTTCGACGACTGCCACGTTGCGAATGAAGTCATGCCAGCCGTTGCTGAGAAACCGTCTCCACATGTGGAACGTCTGAAGGTGGTTTGAGACCACCTTCAGCACCGTCCAGGTCTCACCACTAGGACAGTAGTCTCCATACAGTAGGACGGGCAAAATGCAGGTCTGGTAGAGCGGCAACTCGGTACGCTGCGAGAGGGTGCTTGATGACCAAGCACGTGACACAACTTTCTTGACTGAAACGATGAGGCCAACAGGACGACCGGACGAGTTCCGTAAATTCCCGAGGTAGCATAACAGGTTTGCGCCTTCAACCAATTGGTCAGCCATGTGAATGTTGGAAGCTACCACTCCCGTGCCCAGGTTTCGTACCTTCCCCCCGTTACCCGAAAATCTCCAGGCCCAACTTGATCGATATCTCGTTGAGCGCTGAGAGAATTCTCGGAATGAACGCCAGAGAAGTGTCAAGCAACGTGATGTCGTCTGCGTAAGCCACATCCGTGAACGCTGAGGCACCAGTACATAAGTTCCGGCGCTGCGATAGGTGTCAAGGATCCAGTTGATGAGTCGGCAAAAGAGGACAGATACAAACACGCACCGGTATCTCCCTTCCGATGATGTGCGAAACCGTTCCGAGAGAGGTCAGCCAGTCTGAGTATGAGAACGTGTCCGGCTGGAAGACCTCTGAGGGCTAAGAAGAGGGTTGGTCGATCTACCGAGTCAAAGGTCAACTTCAGATTCCGTAGACCTCGTACAACAGCCAATTGAGCTTCCGGTGCCTGTTTGATAATAGCGTCCATTCTCAATCGGCCGGCGGTGAACCGGGACTGCCGCTGATGGTGATGTCAGGCGAAAAGAGGGTACCTCGTTTTCAGGAAATGCGCAAACTCCTTGCGTGGCACTGAAAGACGCGACACTGGCCGGTGTCTGTTGCGTTCCACTGTGACTCTATGCCCTTGCATAGAGACTCGATGATTGTATCCTTCAATTTGGCTGGCAGTGAAGAATACTCCATTCCTTCAGGAATGGCTGATGAAGTTCTCTACTAATTGGCAGGATAACACATTTCAGGAACTCTGGCAGGGG